GAACCAATTAGTTGTAAAACTTTAAACGCGTTTTTCTCGAAACCACGTTTTCGTAACTGGGCGCTCTCATATCTCGGCCAATTTTTATCCGAATAACTTGAAATTTGGACAGAATGTTTACAACAAAATTGTCTTCAGTTGCACGTACGGATTTTTCAATCGGATTATTAGTTTTTGAAAAACAATTAAAGAAGTAACGAATTTTTGTTGAAAAATCGAAAACTTTTTTTTTAAACAGTGCCATTTTGTCAAAAATTATTTTATCAAAAAATCCGTACGTGCAACTAAAACTACATTCATATACTTTAGATCACAATTAAAAAAATTTATTTCAGAGCTCCCGTTCAGATGCAGCACGAGCGCCCGTGCACCCATGTTTTTTCAGACGAGGTGCACATCAATCACCATAGTTATTATAAATATGAATATTATTTTATGAAATTTTTTTTGTAACATAATATAAGTATGTACTTTTAACATATATAGTTTATAAATTAAACAAACTATTAAATAATGAAAAAAAATTCACGAAAATAGCCTTTTTTTCGGCCGTCACCCTGGTGTTCCCCCTTAATAGAGGAATAGAAATGTTATTTAAACAAGGGAGCAAAGTGCTCCATTACTACATAATCTACTAACACACAAAGACCATTAGTTATTAATTATAGGATAGATCAACTATATATAAGCTGTAAATAATTAATCGCACTAGTAATAAGTTAGTTAATAAGTTAGCAAATCTCCAATTGTTAACCGCTAAAGCCCTGTATCCGTATACCGGGATCAACAAATGCCTCACTAAACAATGTATAACTAACAATAACAATGTATTTGTTGATCCCCGGGTCGAGAGCAGCTAACACAACGTAGTTAGCAATTTTCGATAATTTATTTAATCGATTTATTGTAAAAATAACGAAAATCTGTTCCGCGATTCAAATCTCCCGCCTTGAACAAGCCTGGTTAAATACTTTGCTACGCAGGCTTCTTCCAGGTCCGCGCTATCTCTGTTCGGGGATGCCTTAGAGCCCTCGCTGCTCGAGTCGTCTTCTTCCTGGTCCGCGCTAAAACTATATATGCCAGTAAGCCGCATCAGTCGGGGCTACTCTGTCTCTGGTTACACTACTGCAATAGAAAACCATTATCGTCGGATATACTACTGCATTAGACAGCTCAGCACACAGTTCGTACTACTGCATTAGTCGGTTCAGTCCTCTGGCCGTACTACTGTAGCGGACGACTCAATTTCTGATCTTACTCCTGTACCAGGCGACTTAGTTTCTGGCTATACCACTAGATTTACGATTTGCGCCTTTTTCACGGACTTCTACGAACTTTCGGAATATACACGACTTGGACTATCCACGGACACGAACTCAGACTGTCGGCTATACTCTGGGCTACCCTATAGGACTTCGAGATCAATAATATTGTTTATTTACGACGACTTACGGCACCCCGAATCAGGATTTCCCTTGGCCACGGCTTGATTTACGAGTGATCAAATAAAGGTGTTTTTCGGAATTTAATGGACAATTTTGATGACAACAGTTACGTCTCCTTCTCCTCGGGAGAAACCGACAAAATTTTAAGGTTCCTCGACCGAACAGAGGAACCTGCTCCGGATCCGGTGCTCATTGACCGCGTCATTGAGGAGCACCAATTAGAGCCGTCAGATGTCCAACATCCGCTGCCACAAGCCGCTATCTCCGAGCCGGCGACGCAATACTCCGGAGCAGTATTTCGTAGAAGGCCTAGGACCTCAGCGCGGCCTTACTGGCAGCACCAATTAAAGACCCGACTGAGGCTTCGGTTGCCACGGGATCCTTTCGCCTTGGCTCCCGACCTTGTGAAAAGGGTGCCCTTCGAGCTGCTCCACAAACTCCCACCCTTCCTTACCTGGAGGCACTGGCGGAGAGACAGAGTGAGGACGAGCCGCACCACTTCACCGCCAGTCTCTCGTCCTCCAAGTCCCTCACCTCGATCCCAGCTCGGGAGCCCCCTCGCGAGGAGGAGGTTCGGTCGACAAGACCCTCAGCACCTTATTGCGCTAGCGCCATCTTTCAGGGTCCGAAGCCCCGAAGGAAGACCCGACAAGCTGGCAGAAAGAACCAGGTCCGGCGGCTGTTAAAGAATTTTTACGTGGACTGCAACACGCCGGAAATTGGCACTATATTCAGACAGGACCAGAACAACAATCTGGTCCTGACCCATGGGACTGCCGCAGGAGACAAAACTCCACTAGTTGTCTCAACGGTCAGCAGAATCGGACCGAGGATAACCGATATCCGAGCGTACGTGGGTCCTCGATACCGTATTGCACGGTGGCGCTTGCGCCCTTTGAGGTTGGACCCTGTTGTCTACCCGGCCAATATTCCTCGGATTTAGGGCGACCCTCGATACGAGGCGTACATCCGGAGGAGGCAACAAGCTCTCTATCCGGTGTAAACCATCGGCCTGGTTGGGCGGAAGGGGATGTTAACTTACCGGAGAGACCCCTTCCACCAGCATCGAGAGGCCACCCAGCCGGAGTTACTGGAATACTTGGCCAGCATCCCTGACCGGAGGTGTTGGCAGATCAAAGCATTTGTAGACCAGAGTGGCGATCTGGCCCTTTGCACTTTGTGCCACTACCGTCGAGGGTCCGCGGAATCGGCTACCACATACCGACAAATAGAGGGCCATTACCTTATAATCGGCCACCGGGTTGAGCCCAAGTACTGTTCAGATTGCCAGGATCCTGTGACGGCAGAGCAGCCCATGTCGGCGTGCCCAGACTGTACAGCCGAGTTCGCTAGTATGGAGGAAGGAAGTTAAGGGGACCACGAAATTGTGTTTCTTGCACTTATTCTGGGAGCAATCGAGACGGGTACCGAGAGTAGAGTAGGCCTCACGCCGCTGACCCTCCTTCTCAACAACACCGATCTTTCACTCTTAATTCAGGGCGGAGTCGAGGTGTCGCGCCCAAGGACGTGACAATCCCAAGTAGGGCACTATCACTTGCACAAACAGGCGCGTATAACCGGTTATATAATCGACGTAACTGAACCTTACGTCTAGCGCGGCGTATTCTAGCCATAGATGCAACCTATTAAATCACTCATACTAAGCGCGTACGCGATTCCGCTTTTGCAAGTCCTGAACGGGGAGCACAGTGACGGCTCTAGTCGCCGCTCGGTGAATTGCAAGGCGGTAACTGTGATTTGGTAGGGAGCGCAAGTACGGCTCTAATCGCTACTCAGCAGATCACAGTTGTTACGTCCCGTTGCACAGAGAACGATGCACAGACAGCGAGCACAAGGGACGGCTCCGCGCTTGTCTTGCGTTTTGTTACCTGAGGCCGGAAGGATTAAACCCGGAATGTCGAAGAGTCCGCTCGCAGGTCAGAATTGCATCACTGGCTTCGTTAGCTGTACCGTTTTGGACGCGTGGGTTTTAGGGAAGGTTCGGAAATAAGAATATTTTAGAATGAAATATTAAATTAACAAAGTTATATTTCTATTTGATTGTTACATATATTGTTAGATAGGTTGAATGCTTTTGTCACGATATGAATCTACTTGCAACATTAAAATAGTGATAGTGTACATTTGCGTTGGTTAAACCAGAACTCTTATATTATAACGTTAAATCTAGATGTAGTATGCGAGAGTATTCTAAGGTTAGGTGTAAGTTTACTAAAAGTGGTAGAGGTGTTTTAGAGTGTGGGAGTTGGAAGGATTTGCACTAACGTATGGATCCTAAAAATAGGGATGAGTGCACTGTTCACGTCGCGTAGTCGGTAGCACAACCGACTTGTAGGACTCCCGGATTAAGACTGACTGACTGCGTTTTGCGCAACGCCTTATAAACCCTTTGGATCCGAGGAAGGGGTTTCCTCTGGTAGGGTTAAGAAAACATCTGGACGGTTCCGGAAGGGTCTCGAAGATTCTCGAGGATTTTGGAAAAGTCTGGGAGGATCCCAGGGTTCGGGAAAGTTACCTGACCTCAGGGAGTCCCCCTCGGGGTGCACCACCTTGACGTGGTGAGGGGGCTA